ACCTGATCGTTTTAGCATGGCCAGCGCTGTCGGAGTACTCCGCCATATAATGCGAATTGTTCAATCCGCCTCCAGGTGACTATCCATTGCAAATGGAGACTGGCTGTTTGATACAGGTTCTTTCTATGATCGGGTCTCTGGACGGATTGTGGCCCCTAGAGAATGTGCGGAAGGTTCCTGATCATAGCCATCGTCTGGCTCTGTCCTGTCATGCTCTTTGCCTTCCTTCGTTCCTGCTCTCGATTTCCACGCCCCTTCCCGTCCGCCCTCCTTCAAACCGAACCCCCTTCTCTCCCCTCCGATCGTGGTCCCCTCTTCAGCCCATGCTTCTTGGAGAAGAGGAGGGGACAACAAGCGGCGCACAGCTCGGCTGGGGCCGCGGCCCCAAGGGCAACCGCGCAGGCCCGGCGGGGTGGGGCGTAGGGAGTGGGCAGTACCCAGAGATCCGACGTCGTGATTTTTTCAATACGGGGTCCCAGGAAGTCTCGACCCACTCCCCAGGACCGGTTTTCCATCCCGAGTCGTTTTGTTGATGGCTCCGAGGCCCGGTGAGGGCCCCTGTAGGGGCCGAAGACTGTGCAAAACCTCCGTCCTGATTTTTTCAATACGCTGGATCCCTGGGTATCTTGCCGGGGCCGGCCCTACTGCCGAGGCAGCGCGCCGCCTAGGGTGGCCAGGAGGGGGACTCGACGCCGGGACGACTTCCCCGCTGCGGCTGCCCGACCTTGCCCACCATGGCTCGAGGCTCGTCGGCTGACCGCCTCATCTCTGGCCGGACGAAATGGGGGGGTGGGGAAAGGGGGGGTACGAAATTGGCTGCATGCAGCTGGTTTCGGCCTCCCCGAGGGGTCCATGCCTCGATACATAGCTCCCTCCGGCGCCGGGAGGCGCCGGGAAAATCAGCTACGTGAGCTGATTCTCAAACCCCCCCTTTGCCATCCCCCCCCTTTCGCCCGACCCGATCATCGAACCTGGCCAGGCCCGTCCTGGGCCTGGGATCGTTACATCGATGCGTCCCTGGCCACGCCGGGGGGCTCAGGTGCACCCCGGCTCTGGGCCAAGGATAGGCCGGTCCAGGACTTGCGGGGTGGTCAGCTGGCGTCCTCCGATTATGGCGCCGCAGCCCCAGAGATCCAACGCATCGAAAAAATCAAGACGGAAGTCTTTCGCAAAGTTCGGCCCCTAGTTAGGGGCCATCGCCGGGCCTCGGGACCGTCAAAAACGACTCAGGATGGAAAACCGGTCCTGTTTAATGGGTCGAGACTTCCGCGGACCCCGCAGTGAAGGAATCACGACGTCGGCTCTCATCAAGCAGTGGCGAAGCGTCCTGGCTCGCCTATAGCCATACCAAACAATGTTCTAAGAACCTTGTGTGTGTGGTTTCCACGAAGTGCTCTTGGACCATTTCTGGCGGAGTCTGTCTTGTTTTGTCACATCGGTTTCACGCATGTTCTGAGAACTTCTGCTCTGTTCTGAGAACTTGATTGAGTTCTAAGAGCAGTTCGTGGTAGGACTACAGGAATGCCAGGACGGTCCGCCCCTGCTCAGTCTCGGGGGCGGTGCCCGAGCTGCGACCCGAGGGGCGCCCGTGCAGGCCCCCTGGGCCCGGGCATCGCTCGGACATGTGCATTCTTCTCTCGGCGGGGACTATCGAAGAGCATCCTTGATCGCTTGGCGAAAAGACCGCGCACGAAACCGAAAAACACAGGGCATGGGCGTCCGAGCGATTGCCAGGGGGGGGGGCCGCAAACCTATTCGTATTATTCGAGTCATCTTGACAGACGCTCTCGATGTTCTGTACTTAACTCGAGCTATAGGACAGCTACAGAGCTGATACTTACAGAAACCGATTCAGAATAATTAGTCGCGTTCGTCTGTCGAATCGGGAGCTCTGAACTTGGTCTGCTGCCCGATCTAGAATCGCGAAACTATTCGTATTGTTGGGGTGGCGGCAGGACGGGGGCTCGCAGAACGAGCTCCTCGGACCTCGGCGCGACGGGGGGCCTCCCCTTGCCCAGGGGCGACCCGCGCCGCACACGCCCGCGCCCCGAGGCTCGGAACGGGCGGGGTGCCCGGACTGCCGGGGCAGCCCGCCCGACAGGGCGGCCGCGGGGGCTCCGGCGTCGGGGCGGAGGCGGTCCGTCCGCGCTGCGCACTTTGGGGTCCCTCCGCCTCCTCCTCCTCCTCCTCCTCCTCTTCCTCCTCCTCCTCCTCCTCTTCCTCCCCCCCCTCCTCCTCCTCCTCCTCCTCCTCCTTCCCTCCTCCTCCCTCCTCCTTCCTCCTCCTCTCCTCCTCCTCCTCCTCCTCCCCTCCTCCTCCTCCTCCTCCTCCTCCTCCTCCTCCTCCTCCTCCTCCTCCTCCTCCTCCTCCTCCTCCTCCTCCTCCTCCTCCTCCTCCGCCTCCCCCCCGCAGTGCTAGCGCCAAGCCCGGCACCGCTTGGACGCGTGCGTTTGTTATTCTTCTCGGCGAGGGCCAGCGAGGAGCCTTTTGGGCCATCTTGGCGAAAAACACGCGCAGGAGATCGAACAAAAATACGGGGAATGGGCGACCCAGTGATGGCGAGTTCTGAAATAGTTGGATGGGTGTGCCCAGGTTTTCGCGCCCAGCGGGCGGCAAGAGGCACCTCGTCGACGCCCCTGGCGCGATGGCGCCTGGGTGTGTGCCTGTGTGCTGGGGTGTCGCGCTTGGTGGGCGGCCGCGTGGGCACCCCGCGGGGGCGACCCGCGATGCCTACTTCGTAGCTGGCACCACGCAGATGTCACCACATGGCTTGCACCGCATCGATTCCACAAGGTTGCCCAGTGGAATATCTCTACCTCGCCCGCGTTTTCCTTCTTTCGGCCTCCTGGGCGGACCTCGTCGCCGCCGCTGGATTCGCCTCGAGATCCTGGTCAGAACGCACCCCAGGAGAGGTCCGGGGAGTAGCAGTATCGGTACCTCTTGGTCTCCCCAATTGCCTGCACCACATGAGGCATTCCAAAAAGGGCCTCGCCTTCGAGGATCGAAGGAGTTGCCATCCCTTCCTCGGCGGAGGGCGGCAGAAGGGCGCGGAAGGTCGGCGGAAGTAAAACGAGGCCGCCTCCGCCAGCGGAAGGTGGCGGAAGTAACAGAAGCGCCTCCCTGATATGAAAACGCTTGTGGGTTCAGGGTTTCCAGAATCCGCCACACTGCGTGCACCAGATATTCCAACCCGTGGTTCGCACCACATGTGTGACACCGGATGGACTGCACCGCGCTTACGGCACCGTAGAACAGTTACACCACATATCCTACACCACATGGCTTGCCGCAAGTTAGCAAAACATGCCACACGCCATCCACACTGCACCACAAAGCATTCATCATCATCATATATATATACTGCACCACCAGAGTCGCAATAGGTAGCAGTACCAGCAGCAGTCATCAGATAACGACAACAGTTGTAACACGGACGAGAAATCTTAGGGGGTTCTGAAATACATCGGTGTTGTGGGCACCTCAGGGGCCAGCCTTGAGTAACTTGGATGCGTAACTTTCCTAGGACCACAGCTCGGTCTAGTAGGAGTGGATCGTCTATGGGGTCGGTGCCAGAGCGAATCTCCTCGAAGTTGTTGGCAGCTCGTGTCGCTCCGATGGTCCTCCGTGACTGTTGAGAGACGCGTATTCAGGGACGCGTGCAGTTTTCGCCACCCAATGCCCGACATCCAGGTTTGCACGATTCGCAGTTGCTCATAGACCCATGTCAGGGATATCCAAGGGCCTAGGGGTCCAGGGAGAGAGAGAGAGAGATAGAGAGAGAGAGAGACAGGCATCATCATCATCATCATCATCATCATCATCATCATCATCATCATCATCATCAGCAGCATCCGCATCATCATCATCAGCACCATCAGCACCATCAGCACCATCAGCACCATCATCATCATCATCATCATCATCATCATCATCATCATCATCATCAGCAGCATCACCATCAGCATAATCATCATTAGCATCATCTTCACCATCATTCATACCATCATCATCACCATCATAATTATCTCAGCATCCCCCCATCCCTCACACGTCTCTTGGACCCAGAGGGAGTTCCACCGAAGGCCTCGGTGGCACGGTTCGCATGGCGGCCCGGCCCCAGTTCGGCACACCCTTCACACGTGTCGTGGCCCCAAGAGGGAGCTCCACCACAGGCCCCGGTGGCAGGGTTCGCATGGCGGCCCCGCCCCATGTCGGCATACCCTCACACGCTTGGTGGTCCCAGAGGGAGCTCCACCGAAGATCCCTGTGGCAGGGTTCGCATTGCGGCCCCGCCCCAGTCCGGCACACCCTTCACACGTTTCGTGGCCCCATAGAAGCTCCAACGAATGCCCCGGTGGCAGTATTCGCTTGACGGCCCCGCCCCATTTCGGCACACCCCTCACACTTCTGGTGGTCCCAAAGGGAGCTCCGCCGAAGGCCCCTGTAGCTGCGTTCGCATCAACCCGCCGCGCCCATTTTGGCACAGCCCTCACGAGCTTCGCGCCCCCAAAGGGAGCTCCACCGAAATCGATATTCACAACTGTGTTGCTTACAACTGCATATGGTTGTATCTATCGCCAGACCAAATGTCACAAGTCGTTTTGCTGACGCTCGCGTGGCGTCTGGAGGCGAGAGTGGCCCCGAATCATCCGTTTTGTGTTTTTGCCGTTGCGCGAAACCCAGGCCCCCGATGTCGTGAGCTGTTCATAACGTAGACCCCCAGAGGTCTCGACCCCATTCCCTGGGACAGGCTTCTCCTCCCGAGTCGTGTTTTTTGTGACGGCGCCCCGCGGCCCTGCAATGGCCCCCAGAGTCCGAACGCAGCGAAGAACGCTTCCGTTGTGCTTTTCTGATGCCTCTCGAAAAAAACATTAGCATCAACCCTTGGCGCTCCGCGCGGATTTCTTGGATCCGCGCTGGCCCCCCTCGGCGGCGCCTCCAGCGCCGCCCCCGACTGGCGCGCTCCGCGCGCCGGGGAGGGAGGTCCAGCGCAGCGCAGATCCGAGAAATCTGCGCGGAGAGCCGAAAGTCTATTAGTTTATGGGTTTCTGTTCCTCTTCTAGTCTCGAGGGGGTTTGGGAAAGATCTTCGGGGGGGCGTCGTCCCCTGACCTTCCAGAGAGCTATTTTTTAGCACTGGAGACCTAAAAACCTAAAAAACGAGACGAAACAGCCTAAAACCAAGACGTAGAATAGCTCTGGGATAGGTTTTGAAGTCGCGTGCTATTTTTTAGCCCTCCTGGAAGGTCAGGGTCGTGGTCCCCCCTCCTGCTGGCCCGCGCCCCGCCACCTGCTCCGCCGCGTCTCCGGCCAGGCCGCCCAAGGATGCGGCGCGCCGCCGGGCCGACCGGGCCACGACCATGGCGGCCGGGGACGGCGGGCTCTATGGGCATCCAACGTGTCCAACGTGCTGGCTTTCTTTGTCGGAGAAAGGCTAACAGCATAAACATAGATTTTCGGCGGTCCGCACCGATCTCTTGGATTTGCATTGGGCCCCCCCTGGCGGCGCCTCCAGCGCCGCCCCTGGCGCGCTCCGCGCGCTGGGGATGGGGGTCTGGTCTACCTTCCAGCAATCCACGCGCACCGTCGAAGCTTTATGTTTATGCCGTTCTTTCCTCTTTCTATTCTCGCCATGGGGTAAGCGGGCCCTAAGGTTTTCCCGTGTTCGGGCTCCCGGGGTCCTCCGCAGGCCCGGGGACCTGTCAGGAAACGACCTTAGGATAGAAAATGCGTCCTCGGGGAAGGCCCCAGGGTCCAGGACCCGTTGCCCTCCGCCATCCAAAGTCTGCAACATCTATTTGCTTCCCAGACCCCCATCGCGTTGTAAAACAGCGCGACGGGAGGCTTTTGCGGTATTTTGTTGGCCTCCATCGGCCCTGAGCGGTCCCGGGAGAGGGGTCGAGACCTTGTGGGGTCGACGCTGTGAAAAAATCACGACGTCGCGAGTCTGGGCATCAGCGAGCCCCACCCGAGAGCCCAGGGCCAGATCCCCAGGGACCTCTGCCACACATTGGACCTGAGAGCCGCGAGATGCAGCGGTCGCTCGTCGAAGACGCAAGGCAGGACACCCAGGGGGCACCGGCATACCTTTGGCTTGGCGGCCGCGGCACGCATGGTGTGCTGGGCAGGTCGGGAGTTTTCTTCCCTTCAGTGCATACCCTACCTGTCGCGTGGGGAAGAAAGAAGACGGGATTTTGTTTGCAATTTCCGGCCTCTGGATTAGCGGCGGGTCCCGCTGCCAGGGGAAATCCCGGCTTTCCGCCGCCGAGCGGGGCGGCACCGGCCACGTTTTGGGGAGGGCACCTCCCCCGGTCCATGGATATGGCGACCGCGCGCCCCCGAGAAACGTTTGCTACTGGGGCCAGATGCCAAGGCAGGAGAAAGGAAAGCACCTCAGTTGCCTCGATACGCCCGTTCTGAAACGCAGCACGTCCCGTGTTCAAGACGTCCGTGTCAATACCTTGCGTGTTGGCTCCACGTCTTGGACCACGCTTTGGCGAATGCATCTAGTCGGACCTGCGTTTTTTTCTCTACGTGTTGAGCTCCGTATCAGTACGATACATGTTGTCGGAAACTGGAACATATACATTACCAGTGGCGGGCTGTTTTTCAATGCCAGTACTTTTTGAGGGTTGGGGACGACTTTGGGGTGGTGTGCTGTATACTTTTGTCCCCGATGTCCCGGGGAAACACCGAACAATGTATACACCAGGGTCCCGTATACACCAGGATCCGCTCTCCAGTGCAAATTTCAATGCAGGGCCGAAAAAAGCGTCGGTGTATAGAGTTCGATTCCTTGTTTAGTTGCCTCGATACGCCCGTTCTGAAACGCAGCACGTCATGTGTTCAAGACGTCCGTGTCAATACCTTGCGTGTTGGCTCCACGTCTTGGACCACGTTTTGGCGAATGCATCTAGTCGGACCTACGTTTTTTCTCTACGTGTTGAGCTCCGTATCAATACGATACATGTTGTCGGAAACTGGAACATATACATTACCAGTGGCGGGCTGTTTTTCAATGCCAGTACTTTTTGAGGGTTGGGGACGACTTTGGGGTGGTGTGCTGTATACTTTTGTCCCCGATGTCCCGGGGAAACACCGAAAAATGTATACACCAGGGTCCCGTATACACCAGGATCCGCTCTCCAGTGCAAATTTCAATGCAGGGCCGGAAAACAAACATCGGTGTATAGAGTTCGATTCTTTGCTTAGCTGCCTCGGTACGCTTGTTGTGATACGCAACACGTCCCGTGTTCAAAACGTCCGTGTCAATACCTTGCGTGTTGGCTCCACGTCTTGGACCACGTTTTGGCGAATGCATCTAGTCGGACCTAGAAGCTGTGTTTTTTGAAGGGTCGGGCGATCACGCGTTGAGCTCCACGTCTTCTACGCTGACCAGAGAAACTGTTTCCTACGTCTTCTCTCTACGTGTTGAGCTCCGCGTCGATACGATACGTGTTGCGTGTTGCGTGTCGGGGCGGCGAAGGACGGCACAGTGCTGGCACGCGCCTCGACCCTCCCCGGCCACTGCACGGCCCTGCCCTGCTCGATCGCCCCTTCCCGAGGCGCGCTCGAGCCACGGAGCTCTGCTCGCCGGGGCGCTCGTCGCTGCCCTCGCGGCTTGACGTGGAGTCGGGCCTGTCCCTCTACAGGGGGGATGCTCAAACACAGTAAGAAAAAAAATAGTCTGGGGACGATGTGGAGACAACTTTTTGCGTTATGCTTGAGCATTGCTGGCATGCTGTCTTTCTTTTCCTCCCAAATCCGCCTGGACAGTCGGGGCCCTGAATAAGGAACCCTTTTCGTTGGGGAGGGGCTCGGTGTCCCTTGATTGTTCTGCAGTTTGCGTTCGGTTGTCCTGAGGTTTCCCATGGGAAATCGAAGTTCAACTTATGGGAGAAAGGGGCCTCGTTCCTTATTTGGAGTTCCTTAGGTCAACGCCCCCACTGTAGGGGGACACGCCCGACCTGAGATTGACGGCGACGGCGGCGGCCGCGGCGGCCACGGCCAGGCGGGACGCTCCGGAGGGGGCCTCTCTCCTGCGAGGGGTCGAGGGGCTTCTGTTTCAGTCGGCCCTGTCCCTCAACAGGAGGAATAGTCAAATGATGAAATAGTATCGGGACGATGTTTGCAGCATTTTTCGTTAAGTTTGAGCATCTTCTGGGTCTTCTTAATTTTTCGCCCCAAAAATCCCCCTGTAGGGGTAACGCGCCCGACCCAAGCTTAGGTGCGTCCCTCCCTCGGCGGAGTGCGGCAGCTGGCCGGCAGAGGCCGGCAAGGGCAGCTGGGGGGGCCCCCCAGGGGACTGGAGGGGCCTTCGAGGCCTCTTGGGAACCCCCAAACCTCAGGGGCGGAAAAGAGGGGGGTGATGACTAGGGGGGGGTGGATATCATGGCGGGGGCCATGATATTTCCTCAGATTTCATGGCGCCTCTTCTTATTTTATTACGTCCCTGGTCCCCCCGCTGGGCCGCGCACATGCCGCCGGTCATGATTTGCACCCCCCCCTCTTGGAAGCCCCCCTCTTTGCCGCTCCCGAAAACCGGGTGGTGAGACACCAGGTGGCGACCTGGAATCCCCAAAAAGGTCACCGCTGGGTTTGGGGACGAGGGGGTCACCACCGGGTTTTGTGACTCCTGGGCCCCACCAGTGTCCGGGACATCCTCGGAAAACCGCACGAGTCCCCAAACCGGGTGGTGACACCAAATCGCCAGGACGTTCACCGCCAGGTGTTGTCACCACCACATTTGGGGACTACCAAGCCTCCCTCATTGTGCCAGCCCCACAGAGGTGGTGGGTGCTCGACGGCGACGTTTTTGGGTTCCCTCGACGGCTGCCCGCGAGACGCACCGCCCACCTGCCTGCCTCTCCCGGGGCCCCGATCCGTGAGAGCAAACAGGGGAGAGAACCAGGGCCCTCGAGACCAGGATCCGCCACGAGTGGGACGGGCCCTGGGGCTCCTCCTTTTTGTTGGCCCTACGGGGCCCTCCACGGGCCCTGGGCTTCTCAGGAAGCGATTCAGGATGAAAAACTCATTCCTTGGAGCATTGGCGAAGCATCCTGGCCTGCCTGTAGCCCACCAAAGCGTGTTCTAAGAGCCTCTTGTGGTCTGCACGCGATGCTTTCAGAACATGTCTGGCTGAGACTGTCTTGTTGTGGTGCATCGGGATTATGTTCTCAGAACATTGTTTTGGTTATGGGGCATTTCGGGGTTCTGAGAATTCTTCGTGGTAGGATTAGGTCGGGCGTGTCCTACAGGGGGGGCTTGGGCGAAAAATTAAAAATCAGCACCACATATCCCAAGATGGTCAAAACATATTCCAAAATGGTCAAACATTGTCCAATAATTGTCCCCATCTCTGTTGGGGGGCAATTTTGGAACAGTCCTCCCGTAGAGGGACATCCCCGACTTCAGGATAGGCCCTCGATGGCAAAGCACACGCTGTTCCTGCGCGGGGCTGAGGCACCCCTGCCAGATATTCAAACTAGTAAAGAAATAGATCCCGAAGAAGAACACACGCCATAAAGGTAAAGTTTTGGCGCTCCGCGCGGATTTCTTGGATCCGCGCTGGGGCCCACCTGGCAGCGCCTCCGGCGCCGCCCCTGGCGCGCTCCGCGCGCCAGGGAGGGGTGTCCGGCGCTGATCCGAAAAACCCGCGCGGAGCGCCAAAAGTGTATGTTTATGTGGTTACTTGTTCTTCTTCTCCTTCTTCTTCTATAAAAAAGTTAAGAGATTGTCTGGGGACGATTTTCTTTCGTTTTGTCTTTTTTTGAATACTGTTTGATTATTTTTTACCTGTCATCCAGAATCCGCCTGTAGGAGGACATGCCCTACCAGAGCCTATCGCCGATCTGCCTCGAATCGCAGACGGCACCCAGGCGCTGCGACGAGAGCCTCCGGAAACTGGATTTCCGGGAGCCCGACGATCGCAGACCCCGAAATCGTTCGTTTTTCAAGGCGAAAGCACCCAAAGGTCTACACCACCTCCCAGGCGCCGGCTTCTCATCCCGAGCCGCTCTTTGACGGTCTAGTGGGCCCCCTAGACGCCACAGATTGCCAAATATGTTAGTCATGCTTCTCCCTTTTTCAAACGGCGCGGGGTAGGGGGGCGGAGCAAGATTAGCCAGCTTCAAATATATCTTTCATCTCACGATTCGTATTCCCTGATATTGGTGCCGATCCGGAACAACCTTTTAGTTTCTCAGGATGCATCCCTGCGGTTGTCATCGCCTCGGACTTATCGACCTACGGTTGGATTATCTCGCGTAAGGCTTGGGGACAAGTTGGCGACTACAAGCGGTGCGGTTGTGGTTTGCGATCTGCGTCGACCTACGGTTGGGTTGTCTCGCGTAAAGACTGGGGATAAGTTGGCGACTACTAGCGGTGTGGTTACGCTGGGGTGTGGTTTGCGATCTGCGTCGTTGGGGTTTGGGGGCGCCACGCTGCCCTCGTCGGGCCCCCTCAGGGCGCAGCGGAGAACTCTATCCCCCCAGGGTGCGGCTTGCAAACCGCACCCTCCCCCCAGGTCCGAGGCCCGAAATCCGTAGCCATTTTGGCTCAAGGCTAAACGTTGTGAAGGGCTATGGACGCCTGAGAACCAGCGATTAGCTTTGGCCTATCCGTGGCCACTCCCAAGTGCAGGCCCCAGGTGGCCTTCTCATTCACTTTCTGATCAATCCCAGGCCGGTTCAAGGCCCACTTAGATGCTCGCTCATGCCCAACGCAATGCCGAGCGTTCCCCTGCCGAAAAGTCTGCCCGCATTGTTGTGTCGGAAGCCGAGGAGGAGGCGGCTCACGAGCTCCTGGGTCATATGCCTTCCAGTGGTCTTGACCCTCTTGCTTCGCACGATCCGTGGAAAGCTCGTGGAAAGGGAGTCACCAATCTTGGAGCCCCACCTCGTCGTGACCTTGCCTCCCCCGCTCGTGGTCGCGCGGCAGCCCGCCCACCTGATGCTTCGTCTGCAGCTTCTGGCTCAACAGCGACAGCAGCCCCCCCTGCACAGTCGATTGATGACCTTCTCGCCTCCTTCAAGCGTGAGATTCAGGGTGCAGTGGACTCCCAGATCAATGATGTCAAAGTGGCGATCGTTCAGGAGATCTCGACGCACACAACGCAGTTGGTCAAGACGGTGGCGGCCAATCAGGACCGCACGAACCAGCAGGTGCGAGGTGAGTTTGATCAGTTGTATGCGACGCAACACTCTCTTTCTCAAGATCAGAACGCAATGCGTGACGAGATTGAAAAGATGCGCAAAGAACTCTTGGCATAGCGCATCACCCCAATCAAGGACTTCAGCGACCTCGAGAACTGGGATCGCGACCCAGATCCAACCATCCTGGTGGCCAACCTGTCGCACATTGCTGCGCAGGCGGAGGTGGAGAGGGAGCTCACGCCCTGGCTTCAGGAGGCGGGCTTGCAAGATGGGCAGTGGAAGATTCATGGCAGCTCGCCAGGTCGCCACTACGTCATCCAGATGGCAGGAGATACAGGCGCAGCCCAGCGCAAAGTTCGTGCCGCGCGTCGTGCGCTTCGCAGCTCGGAGGGGGTCTGGAAGGACTTCTCGGTTCCTGCAACAGAGGGTGGACAAGCTCGCGTCTATGTGGGTGTGGACAAATCACCGAAGCAGGTGCGGATGGAGGTGCGAACGAAAAAGTTGGCGCAGATCACGAAGGACATTCACGAGACGGCGAGGGTCAAGCACGACAGGAACAAGGGATGGGGTCTACATCGATGGGGTGCCCACGGTGTCGGTGTCTCCTGGAGATTCGGTTTCGGCGCGTTCTCGTTTTCTCTGGAACTATGCTGCAGTCACTGACAAAGGTGTGGACCAGGCGAAGGTGCAGGCAGCTTTCAATTTTCATTTCTATACGGAGGAGCGGGCAGTGCAGTGGAGTATTTAACCAACTGCTGGGAGTGTGCGCCAACACGAAGGGACTGGGCTCGACGGGGATGGTGCGAATGGGAACATGGAATTGTCGTGCTCTGCTACATCATCAACTGGATATTCGACAGAAGAAGTGTGACAAGCTTCGAATGTTCCTGCAAAAGAATGACATTCTAGGTCTTCAGGAAGTCCATGGTACGGAGGCGGAGTTGGCCTTTCAGTTATACTTGCGCAGGCTGGACTATGCGATGGTGGGATCAATTCCAGGGCATGCTGCCGGTGGCGTTGCATTCATTCTGCCGCGCATGACACAACAGACGTTTGATGACGGAGTCGCCCAAGGTCGGTTTCGGCACACTGTCCTTGTCCCTGGGCGCGCACGCAGGTTGGCTCTCAAGGCTGGAGGTGTTCACCCGACCGCCGCCGAGAGGACGCAGGGCGAACACTCACAGAGCATGCTGGTGATCTACAATATTCACAACTATGGCCTCACAACTGATCAGGTGGATTCTCTCACGGCACGTATCAAGGCCGAGATTGATGTTGCGGCGGCGGCTCCACATCGTGTCACTGTGATGGTTCTTGGAGACTTCAACTTTGCGATTGATGCCCCCATGTACTTGCAGGTTTCCCTCGTAGACAAGGGTGTGCATGTGCAGCCACGGCAAAGGGAACACGGCTCATCTTGGTGGCAATCGCTCTCTGAGTTGGTGGAGCTGGATCCTGAGCGCCCGACACACTACATGGCGGATGAGCAGCGGCTGTCAGCGCTTGACAAGATCTTCACGTCCATTCCACCGCGGCTGCTGGTCCAATGGAATTTGACGGCTACTGTGTTGGCGACGCCTGAGTCATTGCATGCAGGTGGCATCTCCGATCATGCACCAGTCTCAGTCTCGTTCTCGTCGCGACCTCTACGACCTCCAGATCAGCTGCCTATTCCTGCCGTCATCTGTGGAACCCTGGAATTCAAGGAAGCACTGGATTTGGTCACCCAGCAGTCGGATCTATTGAGGCCCCCGCCCATCCCGAAGTGGCGTGACATGAAGAGACTGATCCGTGAGGCCTCTCGTATTGCTAGGGACCGTCTTACCTCCTCCTCTTCCTCTCCCCTTGAGGCTCGTCTCCTCACCTTCCGTTCGATTTCCAGGGCGGTTCATTTTGATGATTTGCGTCTGGCTGAAACGCTCCTCTCTAGGACCCAGTTTGCTGCGGACCACCTGCTGTTTGATGCCTCGACTAGCGCGGTGACCCTGAAGGACCCTGTGACTTTTCGGAGGCAATACGAGAGTCTGCGTCAGGAGATTTCTGATGCTCGCATCTCTGCTGCTGCCGCGCAGTCTCAGAATCCCAGCACGCCGTTCCACAGAAGAAAAGGCTTCGAGCGTATATGAAGGCTGAGAGGCGCAGGGGAAAACTGTGGGCACCTAAGGGGAAATCCCGCCCGCTCCAGGCCCTTGAGGACCCCTCCACTGGCTCCCTTCTCACCTCCCCGTCGGACATGTGTCAAGCCCTCGAGGCCCAGTGGATCTTGTTTTTGCCTCTAAGACGGCCCCGCTCGAGAAGCTGAAGAAATATCTCTCGCTCAACGTGAAGCCGCTTGACTGGTCGACAGTTGTGCCGCCCACGCAATATGATATAGAGCGGTTGATTTCTCGTGCTTCGCCGACTGCCCCAGGGCCCGATGGGATTCCACATGCGGCCTGGAGGTGCGCGAAGTTAGCACCTGTCATTCTTCATGACCTCTTCCTTGTCCTCCTCAGTGGCTTCCCCCCTCCTGTGGAGCTCAATGAACTTTTACTGGTGTTCGTTCCGAAGGGACATAGGTTGGAGGACTCATCGTTTGTGGTCCGGGAACCGGCCACGACTCGGCCTTTGGCTTTGAAAAATACGGATGCGAAGATCTTAGCCTCGGCCTGTAACCATAGTCTCAAGAGGGTGTTGACAACAGATGCCCACCCTGATCAGCGGGGATTTGTGGCGCAGCGCAATTTCCTAGACAACCTCACATTGTTGGACACTAGCTCCCGCATTGCTAGCATGCGTCCGCAGGCGAAAGATGCGACGCCTGCGCTCTTGCTTCTGGACTTTGGAAACGCCTTCCCCTCTCTGACTCACCTCTTCCTCTGGCATCTTCTTGATGCGATTGCTCTCCCAATTGGTTTCCAGTACTTCACGGCTGCCACGTACATGTCTGCCTCTGCGTGCGTCTCTCTGCATGGTGTTGTTTCGTTCTTCTGCTACATCCAGTCAGGGGTGATGCAAGGAGATCCACTCAGTGGCACGACGTGGGCACTCTGTATGGACCCCATAATTCGAGACACTCGCAAGCGGCTAAAGAAGTATCCTGTGTCGGAGGTGGGAGTTTGTGCGGACGACGTGGGGGTTTCGGTGGAGGAGTTGGACGCCCTTGCAAAACTCTCGTTTTTTTTTGTTTGCGGTGCAGGTGTTCGCTGGCCTTCAGTTGAAAATCCCGAAGTGTAGGCTCATCCCTGTAAGCGAAGGCTTTTCGTTGGACCTCCAAAAGCGAGTTGCTACTAAGCTAGCAGCTGCTGTCCCTCGGCGGAAGGACCTTCCCATTGCCGAGTGCGCAGAATATCTTGGAGTGTGGATCGGCCCAGCAGCGACCAGAGAGAAGTTGTGGTCGAGGGCGTTTCGTGAGTGGTGTGGTGTCATACTGGAACTTGCTGCTACTATGGCCGCCCCCTCCATCAGCATTCACATGTATAGTTCGCGTGCTGTCTCGAAGTTTGCGTACCTGGCTCAGCTGGCCCCCGCCCCAAAGGCGATAGTCAAGTGGGAAAGTTGGGTTCTCCATCGCATTTTGCATCTGCCCTCTTGTGCTCTCCCGCTCTCGGCCCTTCATGGCTTGCGCCTGTGGGCTAAGCTTCGTCCCCAGTCGATGCGCATAGTCACCACTGCCACTCTTGTCCGCTCTGCCATTGCTACAATACAGAACTGGCGTAGCCTCTGGTCTAGGTTGCAGGAGAGAGGTCGCGAGGCGCTGCCGCTGGTCTCGTGGGTGGCGGGTTCCTGGTCTCCACCGCACTGGCAGGCCCGCCCATTTGTGCAGGAGTTGGCAGAGGCGGAGGCGTCGTTTCCCTCTATGCCACGGATTTCGTCTGCTGTCTCATCTGCCCGTCTTGCTCTCTCGGCTGCGCGCAGGGAGGACCCTGCTACTCCTGTCCAGCGCACTCTCACGAGAAGTCTTGAGCAGACTCTTCTTAGCGATGATCTTGCGAGCACGATTGTGAAGCGTATCTCGAAGTGGGCCTCGAGGCCGCCATCAGCTCGAGCTCTCCAGGCTCTTTCTTGGCCTGATCTGAAGCAAGTCATGTTGACCATGCCGCCTGCGTGGCAGTTCTCGATCATTCGCACGTTAGTCGGGGGTTGGACGACGGAGAGGAGGATGTGTCAGAAGGATGCGAAGTGCCTGTTTGAATGTCCGTCGGAGATGGATGATCAACAGCACTATTTGTCGTGTCCGACGCTCTGGGGTCTTGTTCAGTCTCACTGGAAACCAGACCTTCCGATAAAGCACCATCTCGACAAGAGGCTCGGTCTGGCTCGTCGGATGACGCCTGAACAGAGAGCTTTGGCGCTGCAGCGGTTAGTGATTGCGTTTTACGCATATAACCACAGGCGTCAAGGTTGGCCGATGGCTGACTCGGCTCGTGCTGCCAGAGCGCAGCTGCTACAACAGGTAGATGAGTAAGGACACTTGGAACCCTCGTTGCGCCTTTGGGTATGTGCGAGGTCCGAGGCCCGAAAACCATCACTTCATTCATTTTGCACCCCAGGGCCCACTGAGGCCCGAGGGGCCCCAGATTAGTGAGGTGATGTTTTTCCCACGTAAGGACCCCGAAATTCATCACTTCACTAAACCGAACCCAGGACGAAAGTCAGGGGCCGAATTGCTGCTGTGATGCCACATCGGCCTCGTACCAGGGTGCGGGTTGCAAGCCGTTCCCTCTGCAAGCCGCACCCGTCAGAGTGGGCGAAGAAGCCCGTGGAAACCCTTTTGCCGTGCGTGTGCCCTCCTCTTCCCTCCTGCCTTCTGCGGCCGTTCTTCCTCCCCGCGTCCCCTCGTGCTGCCGGACAATGTCGTTTTCGCGCGCGCCCCCGAGAACCCGAGCGCACGTGCGGAACGCCTCTGCCGTGCTTTGGCGCGAGATCGGCGTCATCCCAACAGGTGCGTCGTGGCGGGCGCTCTCTGGCCACGCCGCTCGGGAAGCGGTATGCCAGAAGACGGGTGCATATATAGATGTTCGGGTCGGACGCGCGCCTCCAGGGAGGACATCTGGTGCTAGTAGTGCGTCTCTGTGCGTCCCACGAGAACCGCTCGCGGCGACGACGGCCGTGGCGAGGGCGGCGGCGGCGACGAGACGGCGGCCGAGGCTCGCGCAGCCGGGCGCGCGCGGCGTCCTGGGCGCCCTGGCGGCCGTGCTCGTCGCGCGCGGTGCCGCTCTCCACGCCGCGCGCGCCCGCCCCCCCCGCCGCGGCTGCGCGGCGGGGCGCCCGCGGCTTGGCGCCTGGAGCCCAGGCCTCCCAGGTGGGGGTCCGAGTGGATGGGGTCGGGGGATCGCGCCGCATCGCCGAGGCATCGGCGACGCATCGGCGATGCGGCTCGATGTGGGGCCAAGTTTTCTCCACGCCGGCGTCGCCAATGCATGGCCGATGCATCGCCGATGCATCGCCCATGTATCGCCGATGCGGCGAGATCCTCCGACACCATCTATTCGGATCCCATCCAGGAGGCGGCTATGGAGGTTTTCCAGATGGGGTTCAAGTGCTGTAGGGTCACATCGTTTGGCTGAGCGCAGAGGGGGGTACGCGGACCTCCTCGAGTCATGGGAAAGTCACAACGGACGGTTTTCTTTTATCTTCGTTTCCTGAAGGCCCTTACTGGGCCTCGGCACCGTAAGACAACTAATCAGGAGGAGAAACCGGTCCCGGGGAATAGGTCGAGGCTTTTTGAGGTCGACGGAGTGAAAAAGTCATGACGCCGGGGGCCTGGGTGGTGGGAGCGGGAATGCTTCTCAGAAGCACCCCTGCGTCTTGGAAGGCGCAGGCCTTATCTGTAGATTCTGGGAAGCAGCCTCCTCCTGAGAAGCCCTCCCCCCTCCCCCCCTACCCACTCCACGCGCGCCGCCAAACCGCGCCGACGCGGCGACGACCCAGCCGGGGCCCAGAAGTGTCCAACACGGAGCGATCTGGCGATCGAGGAGCCGCCGATCGTTCAGCGCTGAGCGATCCACGCGGCGCCGGAAAAACCAGCGCCGCAGTTTTCACGACACGAGCGAGCCGCCACTGTCGGGTCGGGCGAAAGGGGGGGATTGGGAAAGGGGGGGGGTACGAAATTTGCTGCATGCAGCTGGTTTCGGCCCCACCGAGGGGCCCATTCCTCGATACATGGGCGCCTCCCGGCGCCGGGAGGCGCCGGGAAAATCAGCGACGTGAGCTGATTCTCAAACCCCCCCTTTGCTATCCCCCCCTTTCGCCCGACCCGACACTGGTCCGAGGAGGGCGAGGTGCCGGTGCCGCTGCTCGCCCCGCAGCGCACGCCGCGCGGCGATGGGGCGCCGCGTCTACAGGCACGGCTCGGGCCCAGCGCTG